GCTCTCTCTCTCTTTCTCTCTCCCTCTCGTAGCTATAGCTATTTTGGGGCACAAAAGCCCTTGGGTTGGGGACACAAAAATCCTGTTGCCGGGAAAACTCCCCAGAAAAGAAACGATCACCGTCTCTCTCTCTTCTCCTCCTCCTCCACGACTGTTGGCATCTCTCTCTTCCCCTACTTCACGGCCGCCGTCGCCGTCTCTCTCCTCCTCTACGACCGTCGTCGCCGTCTCTGTCCTCCTCTACGACCGCCGCCGTCATCTCTCTCCTCCTCTACGATCGCCGCCGTCGTCCCTCGCCGGATGCGTCTTCCTCTCTCCCCGCAGCCCCCAATTTTTTCTCTCTCCCCACTGCTCAAAACTCTCTCTCTCTCTCTCTCTCTCTCTCTCCCCACAGCACACAACGGAGTAAAAAATAGAAACAAACTCTACTGTTTTTATTTTTTAATTATAATTATTAAACGTATAATTACTTTGTTGCCCTTCATTAAAGTGAGTGAATTATAGCCACAGGATTTAAATGAGATTGGGTGACTGAGATTGACTTAGACAAGTGACTAAGGTACCCCCTTAGTCACCTGATCTTAACCCCCTCTCTTGCCTATTAGTCCAGGTGAATAAAGGTCCAACCTAGCAATGATATATAAAACAATTCCATTTTAGATACCCATGCACCAAAATCATCCATACAACTCATTGTATTCACTAAGTTCGAAGTGTCTCCTAGAGATAAAAACCGCATTAAAGTCCACCCCTAAGCCAATAATAAAGTTAACTTTTAATCGAGAAATATCCTGATGAGTAGACCTTTCTAACTCCTCCTTTGAAGCATAGACCACTGTAATAAAACAACTATCAACATCTTTCCCGACAATGAACATAATACTTCCAAGGAACGAGTATGCTCAAATCCACACAATGCGGATCCTAGAATATTCAAACTCTACCCAAATCACTTTCAACATTATTCAAATGCCTCTTCCAGCCAGAACAAAAATATGCAGCCACTTCCTCGGATTTATTTTTCCTAATTCTTGTTTCTAAAATTGCCACTACATCTACTCTATACTTACGAAGGACATGAGAAAATTCCTTCTCTTGGAGGGTTTGTTAAACCCTCAAACATTCCAAAATAAGATCTTCATGGAGGAGGGGAGGGCTGCCTCACAGACTTTTTTTATACCTTTTTTCATGGCCACCTACATTTTGATACTTCATCTTCACTCAACTTATTAAAAACATCAATAATAATCCAACCAAATGAGCAACATGCCTTGCATATAGAAGGTTGATGACTATATATTGAACCCCTATCCTCATCGATGTATCATCATCCGACCAAACAAGAACATGATCTGAGAAGTCACCCAACGCCCTCAATTCAACTGTCACCTTGGAAACTTCCAATAGACCACTCATTCTAGTTGTCTGATCCACAACAAGAGGCACTCCAAGCCAACTACCCACGACTAAGCCCTTGGTAGTTGACATACTCAAGATGAGTATTAGAGAAACTTACCCAAATTGGAATTGCCTTCTTACCAATATCTGCAACAACAATACCTGACGTCTAGGGGCGTAGATATAGCAAGTAATCAGAATATAACCACGTGCAATTTTTATATATCCATTCGCAAGTACTTGTGATGAGAGTTGAATCAACAAAGTGTATATCGAAGAAGCGAGACCCGCATCAGCCCATCACGTCCCCATATCTTATTTCTCCATCGCCTAAGAATTGAAAGAGCTAGAGTTGATGAAGAAACTGCCCACAGGCCACAAGGTTGTGGTTCCATCGTGCAGCTCCCTCATCCTGAATGAACTTAGGAATCCTCAGACCACCCTTGTAGACCATTGGTTTCACATAACACATTCGATTTGCCTATGAGAACCCAAATAATTCTGCCCATGCCTTTATAGAAACGCCTCGATCAAGAACAAGATTTAGAACGTAGTCGACCATCGCGCTCAAACAAATAGGAATAGAAGGAGCATAAAGAAATGCACCGACACAAGTGTCTGCACGACCAACCAGGCCCAAGAACGGATACCTAGCTGGTGATCAAGAAATCAGGAGGATTTTCTCACACTACTCTCTTCCTATATAGCAAAGTCCAAAATAAAATACAAGATTATCCTTACCATATCTTTTTTTTTTCTGAGAAAATATATTTTGCTTTAATCTATATAAATTTTAAAATAAAATAAATTAGAAAATAATATTAATTAATATAAAGAATCTAACAAGATCCATTTTGACTATGAGTTAATGTCGACGGAGAATTGGCAAATGCAATGTCTCTTATCCAAGAAAGCTAAGAGGAGTGGAGTTGAAAACGAAAGGGGAGTAAACGAATTGTTCTTTGCCAAACTGGAATGACAATGAAAGATTGTCGTGAGGATGAAGATTGCAGACAAAGGGAAGAACAAACGATCAAGTTGGGTAAAAAATTGGGTATTGGTCGGGTTAGGGAGATACGGTGACAACCCCATTAGGGGTTGTGAGATTGACAACCCATTTTATAACCATAGGATTCATTCTCTCTCTTGTCTCTTTCTTCTTTTTTCCAATCAATGGTACATATTGGATTAAGGGTATTTTTGGACGAAAAAAATTGACCACACTAGATTATTACCCCTATTAATACCTAAAACCCTACACTCTCTCTTTCCTCTCTCTCTCTCTCTCTCTCTCACGCCATCTTTCTTCTTCCTCCCATCTCTTCCCTCTCTCTCTATCGGCTGCCACCACCGTCGTCGCAGCCGACCCGTCACGCCCTCCGCCTCTCACCACCGTCGTCGCAGCCGACCCGCCACGCCGTCGCGACCTCCTCCTCCCACTACCACCATCGTCGTAACCCTCCGCCCGCCCTCTGTCTCCCACCACCACCGTCGCCACGAGGTCACCGCCTCTCCCCTGCCTCCCCCTTTCGTCATCCCTATTTTTTTTCCAGATCTGTGATTTTTCATATTTCAGATCTGATTTTTTTTGTGCTAGTCTCTAGTGGTACGCTACCAGTGACAATGGTACCGCTACCAGTGGTACTGCTAATGGTACCGCTACCAGTGGTACTAGTACTACTAATGGTATCGCTACAAGTGGTAATGGTACCGTACCACTAGCACTGGTAGCGTACCACTAACACTGGTACTTTTTTTAACGCACTAGTAGCGTACCACTAGCACTAGTATATTAATTACCAGTAGACTAATAGATTGGTACACTTTTTAACGCACTGGTACATTTTTTCAGGTTGCCGGAGGGAGTCTGCCGGAGAGAATTCGCCGAAGAAAAAGTCTGTCCATCGTAGCGGAGTGGCCGCAGGAGAAAGGAAGAGAGAGAGATAGATAGAGATGTTAATGTATAGGATTTAAATTTCAAAAAAAAATTGTATTTAATATGAGTTTTTATTTCCCAATCTGATTAATACAAAAAAGGTAATTAATTTTTCATACCCAAAATACCCTTGGTTGTCAATCTGACAATCCCCTTAGGGGTTGTCACCGTATCCCGTCCCTTCGGGTTAGGTTGGGGCAAGATGACATGTTGGGATGTGATGACGTGGCAGGTCTAGTTTCACTATTTTCGGGTTAAATCAAGCTGCCTAGGCGATTTTGTTTGCCACATCAGCACATAATAGAATCCATTAATGAAGTTAAACGGAGATAATGGAGAGTGACCACTGACCATACATGTACCGTTTTACTAGTTTAAGTGACCAACATTGAAATTAAATATTTCTAGTGACTGAACATGACACTTTTAATAAAGCCAGTGATCAAACTTACAATTTATCCGACGATAAATATTATGAACTGTTAGTCATTAATTAATATAAAAAGTAAGGGTGTGCCTACGGTGACATGCATGTCACGGTGACTTGCACTTTCCGGTCGACCTCAGTTAGGATCAGGTCGACCTCATTTAGGATTCGGTCGACCTCATATAGGATCAGGTCGACCTCATTTAGGATTCGGTCGACCTCATATAGGATCAGGTCGACCTAATCTGTTGTTTCAGTGTAAAAACAGTTTATGGTGCCTACTTTGGATATTCATATCATACAATTGGCTAGATGGAAATTGAAGACTAATGACTTGTTTTGAAGCTGGAGTGTCCCTCTACATATTGAAGTGATTGAGAGCTCGATAGGAAGCCCAGAAGACTATTTTTGAACCTCGTCAAAAGGCTATGCCAAAACTGGGAAACTACCTGGAAATGGCTAAGTCTAGAAACGTGTTTGTGAAGCCTATTTTGGAGCTCAATTCGAGAAGCATGAATGCTATTCGAGTCCAAGAGCCTCTACCACGTCAAATTAGATATGTTTTTATACAAATTCAAGGCATTGAATGAAAGATTAGATATCTGTAAGGCTTCAAACAAAAGGGTCGAAGTTGCTACGAAGACTGTTTTTCTGGCAGACTTCGAGCACAAGCAAGCTGCCAGAAAAACAGCCTTCGTAGCAACTTCGAGCCTTTTGTTTGAAGCCTTAAAGATATTCAATCTTTCATCCAATGCCTTGCCTTTGTATAAAAAAAAATATGTAATTTAACGTGGTAGAGGCCCCTGGACTTGACTCGCATCCATGCTTCTCAAATTGAGCTCCAAAGTAGGCTTGACAAACACGTTGCCAGACTTGGCCATTTTCAGGCAGTTTCCCAGTTTTGGCATAGCCTTTTGGTCAGGTTCAAAAATGGTCTTCTGGACTTTCTATTGAGCTCCCAAGTACTTTAATGTGTAGAGGGACACTTCAGCTTCAAAACAAGCCTTTAATCTCCAATTTCCATCTAGCCAATTGTAAAATATGAATCTCCAAAGTAGGCACCATGAAACTGTTTTTACACTAAAACAACAGATTCGGTCGACCTGATCCTATATGAGGTCGACCGAAAAGTACATGTCAACGTAGCAAAGTCCAAAAAAGTAAATAGATTAGTAAAGACCTAACCGCCTAGACATTAGGGTTACGCTAGTATATATAAAGTAAATAAAAGGGTAAAAAGTAAAAACAAAAACCCTACCGCCAGTCTGAAGTTCGTTTACCCTACCGGAAAAAGAATGCGACAAGATGATTCCGACTATGACAATTTCGCCGAATTCAGCTACTTAAGCAGCGACGACGACTTAAACGCCGTTGAATCCGACGATCAGGCTGAATTCGACAGCGACAATGCCGTCGCCTTCCTTTTGGACGAGCTCGAAGCCGCTCTGCCGCCAGAGTTGTCATACTCCGTCTTGACAGAATCCGACATCCGCGGTCGCATCGACGACGACGTCGCCCAGCTCTCGGCCGTGCTCTGCCTTCCAAAATCCGACGCAACCCTAATTCTCCGTCACTTCGATTGGGACGCGAGCAAGGCCGAGGACTCGTGGTTCGCTGACGAATTCAAAGTCCGCCGCCAAGTCGGCCTCCCGACGGCGGCAGCTCAAAAGGTAACTTCCCCTCCTTCCGATCATCATATTCTCACCTGCAAGATCTGTTTCGAACCGCACCCTTTAACCTCCTTCAACTCCGCGGACTGCGGCCACCGATTCTGTCGCTGTTGCTTGCGAAAATACATCGCGCATAGCGTCAACGACGGACCCCGCTGCCTGCAATTGAGATGCCCTGAACCTTCCTGCAAAATTCTCGTAGGAGACGAACTGATCAACCAAATTGCCGACGAAAATGATCGCAAAAAGTATTCCAATTTCGCAATTAGGTCTTATGTAGAGAACAGCAGTAGAAGGAAATGGTGCCCTGCTCCCAACTGCCCACACGCTGTGGAATTCATGTCATTTGGGGATCTAAACTACGATGTTTCGTGCCTCTGCTCCCACAGCTTCTGCTGGAGCTGCAGCGAGGACAAGCACTCGCCGGTGGACTGCGAGACAGTGAAGAACTGGTCACTGAAGAACGCCTCCGAATCTCAAAATGAGATGTGGAAGAAAGTAAACACGAAGCCATGCCCGAAATGCAGCAGGGCGATCGAAAAGAACGAAGGGTGTATGCACATGAGATGTGCAGCTCCATGCCGGCACGAATTCTGCTGGGTGTGCCTGGGGTCGTGGACAGGCCACTCGTATTCCTGCAATAGGTACAAGGATGTGGATCCAGATGGATTGCAGTCATTGAGGGAAGAAGTGAAGAGGTACCAGCACTACTACGAAAGGTGGGCAGCGAACGAGAAATCGAGGCAGATTGCGATTAGAGACTTGAAGGATGTGAGGGAGAATGTGGTTTCGGAGATTGGAAGAGTCCATCGTCAGAATCACAGCCAGCTTATGTTCTTGACTGAAGCTTGGGTGCAGATTGTGGAGTGCAGAAGGGTTCTGAAGTGGACTTACGCGTATGGGTATTACTTGCCCATTAGAGAAGCTGCGAAGAAGCAGTTCTTTGAGTACTTGCAAGGGCAGGCTGAAACTTGTTTGGAGAGGCTTCATGATTGTGCAGAGAAGGAAATGAAGAAGTTTGTGGTTCAAGGAAGCTGCATGCACGAGTATGCTGCCTTTCGGATGAAGCTGAATGAGCTGACGAAGATGTGCAAGACTTACTTCGAGAATTTGGTTCGTGCGCTGGAGAATGGATTGTCTGATGTTGAGACTGGTATGAATGGGTAGAGACTGAAGATGGAGACTTGAACAATGGGCGCCATCCTTATACATATATACATAACATATAATGAGGGTTTAGTATGCTTTTTCCTCCTCGTCTTCTTTAATTTATTGTTATCATGTACCATTAGGGCTTAAATTATGAAAACTATTTATGGTTATATACATGTGAAGCTACATGCTTTTTCATGTGTTCTTTTGTTTAGCCTAAATGGAAAAAAAATGAACAAACCTTATGGCTACATGGGGTTCTTTTGCATGGTTTCCGTAGCTTGTTATTCTAAAACTAGTGAGGACGCCCTTGATCGAGGTAGTTATCGATCATCAGCACCAGTGTAGAGTTTTGACAGGAGGAATGTGGAAGCTGAAGAAACCAGAACAGCTGCTGCGAAGCAGGCGAGATCAAAGCTGGTAACTAAAGGTACGTTCTTGAACTTCTCGAGCAGGCCGACTTGAAGTATCATCATGACTGCATGGCCGATTTTCGACTTGGCTTGTGAAACAGATCGAGTTTCCACCCATGCTGGAAGGTACTGCAGTGTGCAAAAGGAAGAGGAGGCACAGATTCTGAACTCATTAGTTAACTACTCAGAATGAGTGTGTGTAGAGGAAGAATGGATCTTATTGTTGAAGTGCAAGGCATATACCTTCAAGTGGAAGATTCCAAATAAGTTGGAATGTGGTAGCCAAGTCTGCTTGTCGTGTTGAGAATCCTTGGAGCCCACAAACATGGCATGTAAGCCGACACCAAATACAAGCATGGCGGTTCCCACCAAGAACATGTCTGGTTTTACATGTGTAAGAAAAACAATGGTTGAAAAGTGGCATATTTGTTACCTTCCATGACTTTTTCAGAACCCTTTTTAAGTAATGAAAAACTAATCAAGCAGAAAACCTATGGCTTCTATGAGGAGCTTCATCATATGCCCTTGATCCAAGTTTGTAGACAGAGTATGGAAGTAGTGAGAATAGGACTCCGCCACAAGAAAGCATACCTTCAATACAAGATTTGAATGCATAATAATTAATTCAGTTCCCTTCGGCCAGAAACCAGAGAAGTGTATATGGAAAACCAATAAGAAAAAAAAGGGCTCTGCTTTTCTTAATGATATACCTCCATGAAGCATAGTACAGAGCCAAGCAGGGAGCCGGCGACAGCCAAGAGAGTGAAGAACCGGCAGTCGAATATCGCTCTCTCGATGGCCATCTGGATATGAAACTTCCCCTGTTTCCTATTCACATCGGCGGTGGCAGCGGGAGGAGGATTGCTTAATCCCACCATCTTTAACTTGTTAACCAAGGAAGCCAGATCTATCTCGGTCCATGGCGCGGCCGTGATCTGTGCGCTACTAGTACTAGTCTGGGAAGTCTGATCAGCTGAGGATGATGCCCCAATGGCCCTCGCTGCCACCGTGGAATCTAACCTTCTCTGCGAACAATCGAAGTTACCAATCGGAATTCGATCCTTTGTATCTCCATTACCACTAAACCGAACTGAAAAGGAATAAGAGGTGGAAGGAGCAGAGAGATGGTGGAGTGGTCCAGCTTTGGAGGAGGCTTGAAGCAGCCTTGTGGTTGACATTTTTTTTTTCTTCTTGGTGCTGGAAAACAGGGGGGTTTTGGAGAGGCCGAGAGGGTTTAATGGCTGGCGGCACTACTTGTCAAAGTATTGCAGAGAAGCAATGGAGGGAGAGAGGTGGATGTAGAGAAGAGAAGTGAAGATTTTTTTTATTTATATTTACATTATTTGTCGTGTTCTCCCTCCCTTGTTGGAGAGGTTTCCATTGATGGAGGCTTTGACCTCGTAATTTCCTTGTGGCGAAGTTCCCTTCCCTGGTTGAGTTTGGTTTGGTGTGAAGAAGAGAAGAGAAGACTACTCAAAGCTGGAACCCGGTGGTCTGTGGAACTTGTACCGAGTCCTGCCCTCCATTTGTATTTTTCCCAAATGCGCGCGCTTTTCAGATTTTTTTGCCCTTTTGGCGGTGGCGGTTGGCGTCGCGGGGATTGTTTCTGCATCGTCGGTTTGGGGAAGGGCAGTATGGTAAAACCGATAACTGCCACGTGGGAAGAAATAATGGCCTAGAATGCACGTGCCATTTTTGTTGGGTGGAGGTCTGGACTCTGGACTCTGAAAAGGGAGAGCTAGGTGTGGCTAGGGGTGGGCATTGGGTGGGTCGGGTGGATTTTGACCATAAAATGCACCCACCCGCGCTTAAATGGATAGATAATTTTTAACCCACCACCCACCCACATTTAGTCTCGGGTTGGGTCGGGCGGATGGTGGATGATTCGGGTGGGTTTGTGAGTTCACCCACATCACAATGTATATAATATAAAGGAGTCAACTTGACATGATAATAGGTGAAGAGAGTTATCGGGGGAAACAAGAAGATGAAATAGGGCGAAAAATGTCGAATTGGTTCTTAAATTGGATAGAAATTCTATTATGAAAGAGTTTTCTACAGATTGAGATGATTATCAGGTGCAAGGAACTAAGAAAAAAATTCCACAAAGGAAAGAGCGGTGATCTAGGCACAAGAATTAGAGAAAAAAAAATAAAGGGAAGAAGAGAGGATCGCTATTTGGAAGGTTGGATTTGAGGTTCAAACTCCAGGAGCAATCCTAGTTTATGTCTAACGTCTCTACTCTCCCCTCTCTAGCGCCGCCGACTTTGATCTCTTCGCTGTTGGGTTGAGCGGGTCACCCGCGCACCCACCCACAACCCACCCACCACCCGGCGGATGGCTCCCAGCGCAACCCGTCACCCACCCATAGATCCACCCACTTAACGAAATTTAGGTCAAATGCGGGTGGGTCGGCCCAAACCCGCGGATGATCCGCCCGCATGCCCAGCCCTAGGTGTGGCTCTGTCATTTGAAAACATGATTAATCTGATTTTCTGTATAAAAAGAATTTGAATTTCGAGTTAAGAAAATAAAATGTAAACTACTAAATTTAATTGTGAAACCAAATTATCATTATTCAGTGACCAACTAGAATGTCCTTCCTTGTAATTAGGGTTGGGAAAATAGACCAGATCGTTAGAAAAACTATGGTCCAAACCGTACCGTATAGTTTGGTCTGGACCGTAGACCGTTAAGTATGGTCTGTATTATTTTATGTTTTGATTTCTTGGTCTGGTCTGGTCTAGACCGCGGTTTACCGGACCAAACTATGGACCCAACTGACTTGTCAATACGTGTTAAAAGCCCATTCGACTACTCTCCCAACTCCCACAACGACACCCAAGTCTCAACCTTAGTTTTGTGAATCTCGTCCCTCCTTCATTCACAACCACATTTAACCAGAGAGTAAAGATAATTGTGTCTCCATATGACATTATGTTAATGTTTATGACGTTATGATGCAAGTTGTGATGCTTTTACTTTGTATATTTGTTATGTAGTAAGATTTAGGGTATCAAATTATTCATGGATGTTAGGATTAATGTGTTAAGGGAAATAACAATTATTTTTCTAGGTTATTGGTTCAATTTTTTATGTGGTTGACTAAACAAATTATTCATTTTTCGTTGAGTATGGTCTATCTGGACCAGACCAGATCGAACCAGACCGCACAAGAGTGGTCTGAACCGAATCATATAATTTATGGTCTGATCTGTGGTCTATACTTCAGTCTCTAAATCTGGACTATAGACCGTATATATGAACTGGACGAGACCTCGCCATTTCCCGCCCTACTTGTAATTTCCTTTTCCCAAACAATCAATCAAAACACCTGGTAGGTCTCGAAGCTCATTTTCTTGACTTCCTCTTAAAGATGTGCGGTTAGAATTGCAAGTCACAACTTTCTACTCCCTTTGTTTGTTTGCGACATCACCACTACTTTCTATCTAGCCAGAAATTTCAAGTCATTGTGCATTTCCGCATCTGCCCCTCCAGTTTGTTCTGAGACCGTGTACTTCATGCAAAAATCAAAATTAATTTGAGTTTAGAGAACCCCAAAGATTTTCTCAAGAGATTTAACTAGGGTGACTAGTGAAGGGTTTTATGCGGATATGGGTGGATTTGGAATCATTCATTACGTGGTGAGTGAAAGAAAAAAATGACTCACATCCATCCAAGTATAGGGTTGTTTAAATGGTGTGGTTATCGTGGTAACCGTTTTAACTGGTAAAATTTGGCTAATTTGATTTGGTTAATTTGGATAATTGGTTTTGGTTTAGCTAAAAAATTTGCTTGTTTGGTTTAGGTGGTTTGGTTTGGTTTTAGACACTCATAACCAATCAAACCAAATTAACCAGTTAAGTAATTATCCATATATTTAATATCCGTTAGATCTCCTTTTTTGGGCTCCGGCCAATCCCAACCGTCAATTTGTATTTTTTTTATTAAATTAAAATTCTGGTTCGAGTTTAGAGAATCGGGGTTTGGGGTTTATCCATTAGAGGTTATGGTATAATATCATACCCCAAACTCGATTTAATTCATGGTCTAAATAGAGATACCTCGCTAAGAGTACCTGGAGTATAGTATACTCCAGGAGTACACGAGTCTGGCCCATTATGGTATACACATACTTAATACTTGGCATGACCACTTAAGAGCCAAACATTCCTTCCTTCTAGACTCATCAACAATAAAACTCAATATTGTTCTTATTCTGTATATTTGTATTTGTAGAGTGTAGACCATGATATACAACACCCAATTTAGACAAAACTCATACAATATATTAGATTAAAACTTGAATGGAAGGTCATTTTCAACCTATAATAATTGCTAAGAGACTAATTCAATTCACACAATCACAACAATTAATTAACTCCATAATATTGACATATATTTTTGTTAGGTGAATAATTCTATTGACTGTAAGATAATTGTATTAGTTGCATGTATTTCTGTAAGGGTTAACTATAACTATGTGTTCATTGTAATGTTTTATTCATCATATAAATTGTGAATTGATGCATTAACCAAAAATTTCTCACTTAATAAAGTGATGTTATATTGGTTAATTTGGTTAACCAATTAACCAATATAACTTTAGTTTGGTTAACTAGGGTGTTTTATTAGTTTGGACGGTTTGGTTATGATATTGTATTCTATGGTTAATAGGATTTTAGCTTGATTGGTTTGGTAATTACCATGGTAACCATTCGAACACTTCCTACAAGCATTACATGTGAGTGGGTTGGGTTGAGTGATTGCGAATTATGGGTGGTGGTTGAGTGGATTTTGTGGTTTACAACATACATTACATATGATCACATAGTTTCAATAGTTTTAAACTTAAATGAAAGAAATTTTCAAACTAAATAACGTTTATTTCATAAATTATGTGAATAATTTATTTTACAATATTGGTATTGGTAATTGTCCATAAATTATAAAATATTCAAATGATAAACATGGTCTAAGTCTGATTATAACCAAGGTTTAAGAATGCACTAGGCATAAGGCAAACGTTTTGGTCTTGCCTAGCGCCTCATTTGCCTATACGTTGTCAGCGTAAATAGCTTTTTAACTTAGTCGCAAATTACAATTTAAAATTGATGGAAGGAATGAATGAAGAATCAGTAGTAGTTTGAGATGGTGTCATTTTGAGGAAGACAACTGTTTTTTTTTTCTTGCCATCTACCTACTAGTTATGGTTAAGCGTACTTTCAATTGTCTAAGCACACCTCACAACGCAATCCTATGATCGAAATTGAGAGGAATTTCCGTGGTTTTAAGGATTTCATTTTTGGTAAAGCTATATGTTAGAGTTTTGATGGCTTGAGGTTAAAATTTTGGGTGGGTCGTGGGTCAATCATAGTCCACCCGCACCCACCCAATCTTTTATGGGTCACCTATTTTACAATTCACATCCACTCATAAGAACCACCCACATCCCTCATTGAGAAAACAAAAACCAGCAATGTCCAAATCAAGTATATGGAATGCATCGGTCAGTTTTTTCTGATATATAGTTTTGTAATTAAAATGACAGGGGAAAAAAAAGAAATACAAAACATGCAATCTGCTATAGAAATCTCATATACAAACAAAAGAAGCAGACAAGCAATATATGCGTGGAAGCACCAACACATAATAACTTTTGTCAATATCCCTACCACTGTGAAATCCTACCAAATCACTCATAACCACTCTACTGCACTAAACACACAAATGAGCAGCTCTGTACTTTCTATCACTTCAATCTGTATATGTCAATTGTCATGAACCATCTCCATTATCACGATTTTTATCCTTCTCGACTGCAAACACACTGATTGGTTCACTCTTACTCCTTCTTGGCAGCTACATGGCATTCAGTGCACATAAATTCAAACGACCATTCCTTGCTGCAATTTATGGCTTGGGGTAATATCACTTCAGTTATAATACAAATTTCCATGAAATGAAAGGAATGATCATTATGATAGCCTTGTTAAATTTAGAGTACCAATGGTGATTGCTCTCTTCTCCTCGATGGCTTCATCAATAAAATGAGATTGATGACTATCTCTACAAGCGCATTCTAAATAATCATAGTATGACCTTTTGTACAAACCATTTCTGCCTTACCCACTTTCGCATCGCAACTCCAAGAGCTAACTTGCTGGGGCTCTACTCTAGGTAAACAACTTGTATCAACATCAGGCATGAAAACAAAAATTGCTTTGGTTGAGATACTATTAGCATCTTGTGATACTCTGAAGAAGGCTAAACCGTTTCTCAGGCATTGTCAACCCCCAGTCAATTTGACGTGGGTCGTTGCTCTCTTACCATCTAAATTAAAGAGGAAACTCAAGTTAGCCTCTTTTATAACTTAGCTTGATAATTTCTTAGAGGAGATACAATCACAATTCACAATTATAGAACATCCACCTCAGATAATACAATCTTATGAAAACAACACTAATAAAGCACCTAAATTACAATTCTGTACATTTTTCCTATGAGGGTGTGCATGTGCAGATTAAGAAAAATATAAGGATTAAGGAGGGAGCTTACTTGACACGCGGTTTTGATGAGCAAAAATCCCGACAATAAATTCCAGGTGGATATGTCCAATCGACCGGTCTAGATATGCGTATATATCAACATGCTATACTACAAACACAAAGAGTTCGGTTTGTCCTTCCCATAACAACATATGCTCACCATGTATTTTTTTCCTTGTAAAGAGAAGGATATCAAACAATCTTGTATCTACTCCAATTATCGCTATCACTCGTGCTTTTTATATAGTGGTAATTAGAGCCCAACGTTTAAATTTGGAAGCTAGTGACCACTATCACGAAACATCATATTGTAAAAATTTATCTGCAATCATGAGATTATTTCACTCAAAAGAAACCATGTTTATATGTTGAAGATCATCATTATAGTTTGAATGGTTCAATTCGGCAATGATCTCAGCTCTTAGATCTAAATTTTGTGTAAAAGTGGTATGATTGAAGTTATTCCCTATGTTAACACTAATCCAAATATTATTTGTTTACCGGAAACTAACCAAAATAAACATTTCAAATCAGAAAAATGATGATACTGAAAAGGAGTATCATAACAAAAACAACAAAAAGTATAGCTATTTATCTTTAATCAACTCAAAAGTCAACCTAGAAGATCAACCAAATGAACTGATGTTAAGAGATCACACATTATTGTCAAAGAAACTAAATAACCCATTAGTAGGCTCTCCAAGCAAGAACAATCAACCTTTCCATATTTATCCCTCCTAAAATTGCTTTGCGTAACAATATAGGTGGAGGAGGTTAGGCAATTGTAGAGTCCAATGGGAAGGTTTGGAAAGACGGCGATGGTTGAGCGTTTAGTAGGCCGGGAGCCCGAGACATTTTTTTTATCTTTGATTAACTCAAAAGTCAACCTAGAAGATCAACCAAATGAACTAATGTTAAGATATCACACATTACTGTCAAAGAAACTAAATAATCCACTAGTCAGCTCTCCAAGCAAGAACAGTCAACATTTCCATAATTACTCCTTCAAAAATTGTTTTGCGTAACAATATAGATGGAGGAGGTTAGGCGGTTGTCGAGTCCAGTGGGAAGGTTTGGAGAGACGACGATGGGTGAGCGTTTAGTAGGCCGTGAGCCCGGGACATTGTTTATCTTTAATCAACTCAAAAGTCAACCTAGAAGATCAACCCGGGTGGTTGAGCGTTTAGTGGGCCGGACACTATCTGGGCCCGTTTACATTAGTAGCGCATTTTCCACCCACATTGGGCAAACCAACAACACTCAATATTTTCATATTTACCCTCCAGAAATTGCTATGGTGTAACAATAGAGGTAGAGGAGATTAGTCGGTTGTTGAGTCTGATGGGAAGTTTGGAGAGACGGCGATGGTTGAGCATTTAGCGGGTTGGGGCACTATTTGGGCCCGTTTACATTAGTAGTGTATTTTCCATCCGTGTTCGGCAAACCAACATCACTCAACCTTTCCATATTTCCCCCTCTTTTAAAGGTACATGTGCCCATATTCACTCAAAAGTTATATGTTTAAAAATAGCGTTACTTTATGATAGTTATAACAATTAAGTCTATGTTAAGAATTCTACATCGCTTCTACACATTCAAGAGTGCAATTCGATATGCAATATTTGATTTAATGACATTTTGTTTGCTAACCGTGGTGGAAAAGTCTTATGATTTTTCAGATTTAAGATTCCTGTATGTTTTTAATTGAAAAAGATCACACAAATGTGTTTATTATAATTGGTTATGTTTCTTATATTTGTTTGAAGAGACCATGGTTCAAATCTCATTATTGATGTATTTTTCCTGTAAATAAGAAAATAATAAATGACTGTGAAGACGATTCTACCCCTCCTACTTTCACTCTGGATGCAAGAAATTTGAAATGGGGCTTCAAGTTTTCTCATTTGGCTTTTATTTATTCTGTAGATGTAGATTTAAATAATTAACATTTTCTCACAACAGAAATTGTTTGTTTTGGCTTTATTTGTTTAAACTATTATTAATTATAGGACTGATAAATGGTGCAGTCTGGTCTAGACTGGACTATACATACGGTGTACGGTTCATAACAAAATGCTAAAGTATAGATAGTAGACCAGATCATATACTATACGTTCAAACCCGATCATACATGTACGGTGTGTTCTAGTACGATATGGTCCAGATAAATCACATTGAACAAAAAATGGAAAAAAAAGGGTAATGTCTATTTTTTATCCAAACTTTTTTAAAATTCTTTTATATTATCCAAACTTATTAAAATGCTATTAATTAGCCAAATCTTTCGTAATGCATCAAAATATTAGCCATTTTTACGTTATGCATCAAAATCTTTCGTACTCTTTTCTTAGTTAAAATACTAAAATTTTGAAAAATGTGTCTCTTCCAAGTGAGTATCATCTTGCCAAGTCAATATTACTAACAAAATTGCTAACGGAAAGTTAACATTTGGCTAATTCTTATTATTTCGATAGGTTTGGCTAATAAAAAAGAATTCGAAAAAGATTTGGATAAAATATAGACATGACCCCAAAAAAAAAATAGTCAATCACATTGAATTGAGCCAATAACCAAAAAAAATATGTTTGTTTTGCCTTAAAACATAAATCCAACACAAATAAATTTGACACCCTAAATCTCTCTAAATAACAAACATACAAAGTCAAAATATTTCAACTTGCACCATAAAATCATAAACATTAACATAATATCATACGAAAACATGATCTCTACTCTTTAGTGAAATATGGGTTTGAATGCATGAGACGAGATTCACCAAATTAAAATTGAGACTTAAATCTCATTGAGAAAGTTAAGAGAGTGGTCTAGTGGGCTGCAAACATATATGGGAAGTCGACTGGGTCTACAATTTGATAAGGTAAACCACAATCTACGATCTGTACCGAGCTGTACAGTCTGATTTGGTTCTCGGGTTTTCAAGCGGTCCTATATTCCCCGCCCTAATTGATTTAAGAACGACTGATAGTTTAAAACTTTGAAAAATGAACGGCCTCGTCTGTGCCCCAAGGTTATGGGCTATGCAATCCAGCTCATTGTCAACTTCACACTCGACACAATTTTGTGAACTCTGAGTAGCCATTGACCGTGTGCTCTAAAGAGTATCAGGCCAAACTTGAAATTTTGATTTCAGCCAAACCCAATATCCCAATGCCAAAGCTGGTAGCCTGGAACTAACAGTTAAAACTTAAAAAATGCGAACAAAATGAGCTGACCACAAATGTCACTTGAAGCACTATACTTTGCTCGTCCAGAAACCCTCTACTGATCTATGCCTGGTTCCTCCACCAAGAACAAAGCAACAGCGCTACTAAACCCCTAATCTACATTATCTAGTTGTAGAGAGACCCAAGAAATTGAGTTTAGCGAACGGATAATCAATAATTCTCAGCAACAGGCCTAGAAGGAAACAGTCTCATAAGAAACGTGATCAATGACCAGAGACAAACCACACCAAGGAACTGGAATGCCACCCCCACTGAAATCAAAGCCTTCACTCTTTCGATCAGTTCAGGAGATTCGGGGATCCCTTGCATTGTGAACAGCAGCTTCTGGATGAATTGAGCAGCCTTGGTCAATTGGAATAGTCTGTATACCTGTTTTGAACACAGTACAAGTTGTCAAACTTTGCAGCAATAGTGTGACAAACCTCAACCAGAAAGTTATATTTATTTTCTCCCTTTTCTTGAAAGCAATATTACCTCGAAAATGATAGGGACTATAGGCCAACAAGATGAACCTCGCTTCTCCAGATTGGCCTCAAACACGCGCTGGGCTATGCATCCAGCTAAATATGGAATAACAGAAACTGCCACAGGCACACCTAGCACGGGCCAGGTGACATATACCATAAGTAGTGGTGCTATGACCTTAAACCCCATGGTGAAGAATGCTGAAGTCAAATAGCCTCTAAGGCCTGTGATTAGACCCCATCTTTTCGAACTGAATTCCAGGTAAGGCCTTTGCATTCGGTCAGTTATGCTTAGAAAGGCTGCTAAAGCAATGTAGAAGCCTACCTCAAAAGACAGTGAACTCACCATCTCTGCAATAACAAATTCATGGAACAATCATTTGGGTATTGAGCTGAATAGAGCAAGATAAAATCAAAACTGGAGAATGGGGTTTCAACTATTTACCTACAAGAACAACATCCTTTAGGAGTTCTTGGATTGCGAAACCAAGGAAGAATTGGGGGACGATCAAAGAAGAAATCAGGACAACCGGCCCTAAAATCCAGAGGAAAGAACCTTTGTCCTCTTTGAAAGGTGCTGACACCAATCGTCCTTCTTCCACTGACTGGTGAGTCAATCCACAGAATGATACAGAACCCGATTTGCCCCGAAATGGCTCAAACCCACCATCAAAGGTTCCAGTAGCAGGCAGCCCAAAACCTTTCTTCTCCGAAAGATTCAAATTGGCGTCCGCATGATGACTAGAGCTAGAAGCACGCAATATAATTCCTCTGTTCAAGCCACGCAATTCATTTCCCCTAAATACATTCTTCGAACCAGCTGAAAACAGAGCGAGAAAGTAAAGGAAGAGTTTCATAAAACAATTTACCAAAGCAACCTCAACATCGAAGCAGAACGTACAGTTCGAGATGGTGCCCAATAGAGGTCTCCCATATCTGGCCCCAAATTGAATGGACGAAGAACCCTAGAAATGGAAGACTAGAAGCCATCAAAACAATGAACGAAAATGTGATTCGTTTGTTCAATTTTCATAGGGTGAATCAGTAGCGACGTACTCACAATTCGACTAGTCGAGTGGTGGCGAGTTTGGTATCCGAGCTTCGGAAAGGAAATTCCGCCACAGACGGATTGCAATTCCATTTTTTAGCTAGTTGCTCCCTCCCTGAGTTCAGCGATTGAGAAGCTTAAACCCTAAACCCCGGGTGGTACGCCTCATTAAATCCGGTCGGGTGGTCAATAGGGATGGCAATCGATTGGATCGGGACTGGATGTATATGGATCCGTTACCCGTCCGCAAGAATTTCGAGTTCGGGAAATCCCCGAACCAATTGTGTTATCGAATGTAAAATATCAACCAGGCCGGCCCGTTGTTGGATTTCGAATTTGTTGGGGATTCAAAACTTATCTTACCAGTTTATTAATTAAACCAAATGACAGTCACTCAGCGAGATAAACATAATTCAGAGTTTCATTTCCATTAAAAAACAACCAAATTCTTACGTGAAACTGAAGCATGAACTTCATAACATCAAATCCAGAAACCAGAATGCACTGGAGAAGTAGCAAAAGATCAAAACATTCAATATAAAACATCCAATCCTAAAATACCATCAAATCCAAAATGACAAAGACCATTGTATCAGCAAAACAAATGTTTAAATGACTAGCAAAACATATCTACTACTAGAGAACAACTTCGATAGCAGCAGAGGCGTGCAGCAGCAGCAACACAACAACAAGATAAAGACTTCACTTCAGGCCTCCATACTCCACTTTCCAGCAGCAACAACAATGCAGCATTCTGCATTCCTTGGTTCCACTCAGCAGCCAAGACAACAAAACTCAAACAAAACCTGAAAACGATCAAAACCAACCGGTAATAAGGATCCAAATTCACAAATCATGAAATCAACTAAAGTACTAAGTACTAAGAGAACTCAAAAGTTATTACTTACATAAGCTTGAAACGAGGGGCTTGCTCTACACATTTAAACAAACTATCTCAATCTCATTTACATATATTAAAGGCTGGAAGAAATCACACAGCTGAAACAAGGTTTTTTGCTTATTACCTTTAGTAGTTTCAGCATCAGGTTGGAGCTGAACCAGATTGACTTCACTTGTAGGGGAGAAACATCCTTCCAACACTCCTGCTTCAGCAGCAACATCATCTACTGACTCGCTAAAACACAACACCTAACAATGGCCAAGTGTAACCAATGAAAGGGACTGCAGTATAGGCAAGTTTAATTATCAACCCGAGGTCTAGATCTACTGCTTACTCCGTGATTCTCCGTTATCTAGCAAACTAAGTCGAGTGATTGTTGTTTAAAAGCAAAAGCAGTAAGAAAGCAGGAAATGGTTCGGTTTTCAAAAGCAGGTAAGAGTCACTCGGGATTGAGTCCCCCTAGCCCCTTGGTTAGGTTCAATTGCAATTCCCTGGGTTAATTTACTGTTGATTAGACTGCGGAAGATCCGACAGTAGCTTGGAATCTCTTAAGCTGACCAAGCCCTCTCAGTCTAACTACCCGGCAGACGACTAGTCTTCACCGGGATAGAAAGCTGAGGCTATGAACACAGAACTCCACTACTGGCGTTAAGAACACCAGTACAAAGCAGTAAACTGGCTAACTCTCGTATAGCCAATCTCCTACTATCGAATGAGGAAGCTCTAACAACCTAATCAGATTCTATCTATCTCAGGTTGAAGCAGAAATTGAGACAAGCTGATCAGACTCAAATCAATTCATTAAACATGCATCATTCGATTAAAATCAAACAGTAACATCATCCCAAGTCATTACAATCAAATCCCTAACACAAGGAACTAGGGTTCTTCATACCCAAGTGAGAGAGAGGTTCTACTCCATAGAGAGAGAAAGGAAAACAGAAATCAGAGTAGCCATACTCATAAAGATGAGGAAAATCTGCTCTGGGATGTCAATCTTCACTCCTAGGGACGCAATCTGGGCTTCAATGATGAGAAATCCACTCCAAAATAGCTCCTAGGGTTTGTTCTTCGCTCTTTCTCTCTCTAAAACTCTGTTTTTGCCCAGAAAATCGAATTCCCTCTCCTTGGCTCGAATCTGCCTTCAAAAACCCGACTCTGGGCGAATTACGGGCAGAATTACGGCCGTAATCACGTCCTGCCCGTAATTCGCACCAAAACGCGCGTTTCACTTAAGCTGCAGGAGGAGAAGTTACGCCCGTAATTTCCCAATTACCGCCAGTAATTTGGGAATTACGGCCGTAATTCTTGGGGTCTTGCCCGTAATTTTATTACCGCGAGGGAATTCTGGGTAGAAGGCTCGGCCAATAAATTACGGGCATGCCCTGGCCAATTACGGCCGTAATTTGGCAGGGGCTGCCCGTAATTCTGTCTCCGCTCCTGTTCAAAGCTTCGTTTCTCCCTCGTCCGGACTCCAAATCAGTCGCCGTTTGAACCCAGACGCTCGTAGTCTCGTCCTCTTTCTTTTCATGACAAGCTTGCATGATTCTCTGTCCATAAAGTGAGGTAGAAATCCATTCTTCTTCAGGTCATACCCAGTTTCTTCTCCCGAATCGTCAATTGATCTCTGATTGACTTGAAACTTGCGCCTATGCTTCACTTTATGTGCTAGGACCTGAAATGTGACAAAGGAACACAACCTAGCGTAAAATAGGCCAAGGAACAATCAATTCGAGCCAAAATGGGCAGGAAACCAGAGTGAAAACACGTGCAAATACGATGCTATCAAATTCCCCCACGCTTAACTGTTTTCTTGTCCCCAAGCAAACCAAGTACTACACAAGGTAAGCTCACATATTTCAGTCAACCAACATTGGGGACAAGTCATAAAGGCACAGAACACGTGAATCAAACTGGTTTTCAAACATCAACACATGAACAACTTTAATAGCAACCTGGACAACCACCACAAAGGACATTCGAGTGCAGCAAATCGAGTAAAGGAAGAGTCTTCCTTCTGTTCACCAACCAACCCAGACTTGACTCGACCACTCACTCAAAACAGTCAACTCATGCATCCAACTCAAGACATCAGAACAGAGACCGAGCAATCTAGGTCCTCACCGGGGTACAAGAGTATAGAGAATATGAAAATGAATCAGTCACTCTCGACCAGTGGGGTCAGGACAATTTAATGAGAAAAATGCGCATGCTATTTCTCTCAATCCCTAACATCTCTTCACCATGATGGCAGCCTCTAAATGCTAGAGTTCACATACATAATGTAACCACTAACTAATCAGGAGGTCTTAGACACAGGTTCAAATGACTGGCTAGGGTCTTGGACATGGGGAAAAAGCCTTTTAGGTGGTGGAAGTATTCATAGCAAAAGGTTCCACATTTCCCAAACACACAATCACAGTCAAACAAACCGGTATTTCCTTTCTGCTATTCTGCAATACTCAACATCTCAAGAGCACAAGAGCGAAGGAGGCATAAACATCAGCATTTCCAAGCCAGACTGCTAAGAAACACTACTTACTGGGCATTATTCAGATTTTTGGTAGTGGCTCTCTTTTGCTTTCAATTTTTCTTTGTTTTTCTTTTATTTTTCTTTTCATTTCTTAAGAGAGCCACCACTTCTGCACATATTTCAAACATCTGCCCAACCTTTAAGCACTACCTCCAACACTCACATAGACTTTAGCAGAAACAGCAGAGAATATGTAAAAACCACTCTGTGGAACCTTCTAAAAGATGCAACAAGGGTGATTTTTTCATTATAGACCAAAAGAAAGGATAACACACGGCTCAAAGGGGCTGACTAGGGGATATGACACATCAGGACAGTCAGTTTTTGGGCGTGGGCTAATCCTATGCCCCCATCATCTTAGCTAGTGACAACGTGAATGCTACACATCATGGAAGAGGGATCTATCGCACAAGAAAGAAACGAGCAGGCTCAAATCTCACATGGCTACCTATATGCTCTATCTCACATTCTGATACCCTGAACTAGATGCATAAACGACTGTTAAGAACAAGTAATCAGATCAAGTCAGATCAAGTCACAGTTGGCAAGCAAACAGTCGAAAAATTGAACTCCTACATCGTTCTACTGCACATCTCAGTCCTCATCATAGGTTGTCCTAGTCGCAAACAAGTTGTCATGCATTAATCCGAAAACCAATCAGTTCATCCATCAAAAACACAGTGCCAATATGATCAAACAGCAGTACTTGGAGCCCTCAAATCGTAAGATTCGGACAGCGGACTAGGCTCCAAGCACCGTCATAAATAGTCCAACCGATACAAAGCATCCCCCCACACTTAAGCACGACATTGCCCTCAATGGAGCAGAGGGAAAGATAAGGGAAACGATGTTACCGGGTAAGAACACTGCTGGGGGACTGGAAGTGGACCAGTCCGCGGGCTAGCATCAGCAAAACACACTGGGTGATAGAAACCATAGTTCCAAGTGGAAAACCGACAAAAACAAACGAAAGAAAAACAAACCTTGGTGGGGTTGCCTCCCCACAAGCGCTTCTTTACCGTCTTTTAGCTGGACGCCAGTATGGATGCTCAGGGAAGTGTAGGATCAGGTGCCTTCAAGAGCGGATCCACATCGCTCTTGAGGTACAGCTTCAACTGGTGGTCATGGACGCGACGAATGTGGCCACCTGCATTTGCCAGCTCGACTTGGCCATCCGGCAAGATGCAAGCGAGTGAATACTCGGATGGCCAAGGTGGGGGCGGGACCAGCTCATAGTGGTCTCCGGCTTTCTTTCGAGCGGGCTCAGCTGCCTGCAGTTTCGGCCGCCACTCCTCCTTGATCTGTTCTTTGGATGACGGGGTGGTCCGGAGTGGCGGCGAAGGTGTGGGAGGCGGTTCCTGCAAAATAGGCAGCACAGAAGGATACACGACAGACTCGTGCTCCTGGTGAGATACAGCATGCAGAGGTAGCGAAGCAGGTATAGTATCAGCAACAGAAAACGTTATTCGCTCCTCGCCATCTCTCAAAACTAAGGTCCCATCATGCACCTCTATGAGAGCCTTGGCGGTGGCCAGGAAAGGCCTTCCCAGTATAAGAGGCACTTCTGTGTCCTCACTGATGTCCAGGATAACAAAATCCACAGGATATGTGAATTTGCCAACCTTGACCAGAAGGTCTTCCACTATACCCCTAGGATGCACTACCGATCTGTCAGCTAATTGAAGGGTCATCCTAGTAGCACGGGGTTCACCTAGGCCTAGTTTCATGAACAATTTGTATGGAATAACATTGATACTAGCACCTAAATCCGCCAAGGACTTCTCCACATGCAATTTATCAATAGAGCACGGGATAGTAAAACTACCTGGGTCCTTTTTCTTCTGCGGAAGCTTGTTCTGCAGAATAGCCGAGCACTCCTCGCTGAGCTCCACAGTGGCCAGCTCACTCAGCTTCTGCTTCTTTGAGAGAAGCTCTTTCAGAAACTTCGCATACTTCGGCATTTGCGATAGTGCCTCCAGGAAAGGCACTTGGACATTCAGCTTCTTAAGCATGGCCATGAAGTTTTCGAACTCTGTCTCCAGCCTGTCTTTGTGCAACCGAGTAGGGAAAGGGAGTTTAGGGACATACTCCTTCACTACTGGTTGCGGTTTAGGTGCAGGCACCTCATCCCCCTTCTCTACTTCCTGTTCAACCGCTGGAGATGCTGCAACAGGGCTTTCTCTCTCCGGTTCCCGAGCAGGGGGATCAACAGTCATCTTGCCACTCCTGGTCATGATGGCATTGCAGCGCTCATTCGGGGTCGGCGGGTGAGGAATGGTCTGCGCTGGCAGAGTACCAGGAGCCCTTTGAGCCACTGCCTGGGCCACGCTCCCCAGCTGGGTCTGGATATCCTGCAAAACGGCCTGTGTATTCCTCTGACCAGCTTCGAGAGCCAGGAGTTGACCCGAGGCCTTCTCCATGAACTGCTCAAAGGTGTTGAATTTCTGAGCACTAACACTGGCGAGAGAACCCACCAAGTCCCGCAGTTCAGCCATCTTATCGTTCTGCGCTGGGGCAGCAGGGGCTGCACCTGGCTGCTGGAAGTGCCCCTGTCTGGGCTGATATGGTGGCCTCTGGAAGCCCGGTGGTCCCTGTGGAGCTGGTGGTCTGGGATTTGGCCCAGCCCAGGAGAAGTTAGGATGCTGGCGCCACCCCTCATTGTACGTGTTGCTGTAGGGGTCATTGCGCCTGACATTGTTGATGAAGTTCACCTGCTCCTGGGGTGTGGTCGATTCCTTCATCGCCTGGCAGTCTTCCACCATATGATGGGTGCTCTCGCACCACTGGCAGAGCATCGCCTGCTGCTGTCCGGTCCCTAGAATCATCCCGGAACGATCGATAGCTGAGACCAGCTTCGATACTACCTGCACCAAATCAGATGACTGGGTGCCCACAGCATGCACACCCCGGCCTGGTGCTCTCCTCGATCTCCTGGAAGTGCCCCAATCATAACCATTCTCCGCCATCTCTTCAAAGAGTTGATTCAGCTGTGGCGGGGTTTTGGTCAGCATGTTCCCGCCACAAACCGAATCGATCAGCTGCTTGTCCTCCGGGAAGAGGGCGTGATAGAAGGTGCCCACCTTGAACGCATCGTTGAAACCATGATTGGGACACCTGAGGAAAAGGCTGTTGTACCTCTCCCATGCATCCCTGATGGTCTCATCCTCATCCTGAGCAAAATGTGTAATCTGCTTCTGGAGATCAGCTGTCTTGGATGGAGGATGGTAGCGGGTGAGGAACTTGTCCGCCAGGTTGGCGAACATGGTGATGGAGCCCGGAGGTCGAGTGTCTAGCCACTCCTTGGCTTGCCCCTCCAGAGTGAATGGGAAGTACCTCAGCTGGATGGCATCTGCTGGTACCCCATTGATCTTGATTCCATCAATGAGCTCGTGGAATCGCCTGAGATGTGATCGAGGGCACTCTCCCTCCTTACCACGGAACACTACTGAACCGCGCAGCATGGTGATCACGGAGGTGCTCACCTCAAAGTTGTTGGCTGGGACATGAGGGTGTTGAATGGGTGACCTCATGTCTGCAGCCCTAGCGGTCCAGTAGGATCCCATGGTCTGCTCCTCTGGGATCATATCACGGTTCTCTGGATTAGCCATCTCGCCTTCTTCTTCTTCTAACGGCAGCTGTGGTAGCTCCTCCTCCGCAGCCAGTCGTGCCTTTAGAGCCCGCTTGAAGTTCCTGCAAGTTCGTTCAACCTCCTGGTCTAACGGTAGTATATCTCCCGACTGGCTACGGGTCATGCACTACCTGCACACAGTCAGCAGAAACAACCCGTGAAGGCACACAGGTGGAAAAGAAAAATGCAATAAAGAAAAAGCTAGAGTAACAAATTATCACGTTTCCCCAATAACCTAGTGTTCTTCCCCGGCAACGGCGCCAAAAACTTGACACGCCAAAACACAACACCTAACAATGGCCAAGTGTAACCAATGAAAGGGACTGCAGTATAGGCAAGTTTAATTATCAACCCGGGGTCTAGATCTACTGCTTACTCCGTGATTCTCCGTTATCTAGCAAACTAAGTCGAGTGATTGTTGTTTAAAAGCAAAAGCAGTAAGAAAGCAGGAAATGGTTCGGTTTTCAAAAGCAGGTAAGAGTCACTCGGGATTGAGTCCCCCTAGCCCCTTGGTTAGGTTCAATTGCAATTCCCTGGGTTAATTTACTGTTGATTAGACTGCGGAAGATCCGACAGTAGCTTGGAATCTCTTAAGCTGACCAAGCCCTCTCAGTCTAACTACCCGGCAGACGACTAGTCTTCACCGGGATAGAAAGCTGAGGCTATGAACACAGAACTCCACTACTGGCGTTAAGAACACCAGTACAAAGCAGTAAACTGGCTAACTCTCGTATAGCCAATCTCCTACTATCGAATGAGGAAGCTCTAACAACCTAATCAGATTCTATCTATCTCAGGTTGAAGCAGAAATTGAGACAAGCTGATCAGACTCAAATCAATTCATTAAACATGCATCATTCGATTAAAATCAAACAGTAACATCATCCCAAGTCATTACAATCAAATCCCTAACACAAGGAACTAGGGTTCTTCATACCCAAGTGAGAGAGAGGTTCTACTCCATAGAGAGAGAAAGGAAAACAGAAATCAGAGTAGCCATACTCATAAAGATGAGGAAAATCTGCTCTGGGATGTCAATCTTCACTCCTAGGGACGCAATCTGGGCTTCAATGATGAGAAATCCACTCCAAAATAGCTCCTAGGGTTTGTTCTTCGCTCTTTCTCTCTCTAAAACTCTGTTTTTGCCCAGAAAATCGAATTCCCTCTCCTTGGCTCGAATCTGCCTTCAAAAACCCGACTCTGGGCGAATTACGGGCAGAATTACGGCCGTAATCACGTCCTGCCCGTAATTCGCACCAAAACGCGCGTTTCACTTAAGCTGCAGGAGGAGAAGTTACGCCCGTAATTTCCCAATTACCGCCAGTAATTTGGGAATTACGGCCGTAATTCTTGGGGTCTTGCCCGTAATTTTATCACCGCGAGGGAATTCTGGGTAGAAGGCTCGGCCAATAAATTACGGGCATGCCCTGGCCAATTACGGCCGTAATTTGGCAGGGGCTGCCCGTAATTCTGTCTCCGCTCCTGTTCAAAGCTTCGTTTCTCCCTCGTCCGGACTCCAAATCAGTCGCCGTTTGAACCCAGACGCTCGTAGTCTCGTCCTCTTTCTTTTCATGACAAGCTTGCATGATTCTCTGTCCATAAAGTGAGGTAGAAATCCATTCTTCTTCAGGTCATACCCGAGTTTCTTCTCCCGAATCGTCAATTGATCTCTGATTGACTTGAAACTTGCGCCTATGCTTCACTTTATGTGCTAGGACCTAAAATGTGACAAAGGAACACAACCTAGCGTAAAATAGGCCAAGGAACAATCAATTCGAGCCAAAATGGGCAGGAAACCAGAGTGAAAACACGTGCAAATACGATGCTATCATCTACGAATGCAAGCCAAGTCAAAATAGTTACATAACATGCTAAAACAACAATGAAATTGAACAAAAAGAATAACTTAAAAGGGTTAAGAGTTTACCTCCAGCCAACTCAGCTTGCAGCCAACTTCTTGTGCACACAAGTGTTTCCACAATAGCATGGTGTAACCTGTTCCTATGCTATGTGGGTATAAAATATGACCTACAGAGCGGAATGCACACTCATATGCAACAGAGGTAACATGAACAGCCAAAACATCCCTTGCTATGGCTTGCAATGTGTGATGTTTTGGAACATTATACTTCCACCACATTAAAATATCAAACTCAGCAGAATGAGGGAGAATTTCCTCATTGAGGTAATTGTCCAACTCAGTATGAACAGAAGTAACCCTTGCCCTTTTTCTTTAACTCACAAATCGATCAAAGTCCAAATCAGTGGTACTAGGAGCAGAGGACTGAACTCCCACATACCCAGAAACATTCAGATTCCTCTCCTCGTTCACTTGGTACTCCAGTACCGGATCAGATAATATGTCCTTAACAGATTCCAAACAATAGCCATCAATTCCAAAATTAGCAGCATAGTATTCCACAATATCCTACTTATACCATGGAGCTAAAATCACAGCAATAGCAAGGACTTTGCGAATCTCGTCTCAGTACTTGCTGAATTTTTCCAGCATAGAATAACCCATCTTTTGAATCAATTCATTGGTATCAACACACCACTCATGAATCTTGAGTTTCAACTCACAAATACGAGGGAAGAACAGATTATGCGTTGGATACTTCAATCTAGAGAACAAATAAGAGATAGAGCTAAAAACTTTAAGTTTCTCACAAACTAGTGTAGCAAATTGCCACTACTCATTCGATGGCAAGAAATTGTATTGAGCATCACGTTATTTAAGTCTAGTGAAAACCTCCTTGTAAGGAATAGCAACATATAGCATTTTAAAGGTGGAGTTCCACCGAGTAGGGCAATCCATAACAAGTCGTTTTTCAGAAGTGAACTTTAACTGTTGTGCAGTTTCAAGGAAGAACTCTAGCCTTTTAGGGTTAGCAGACCAGTAAACAACATTGCTCCTTGACGCAGTCGGAAACCCCAAAGATTCGTTAGCACCGAATCCGAAAGAACACAAGCTTGCCAGCTGCAAGCTTCCTTAAGAACTACTCTGGAAATCCACCAGATGTGCAAACCAATAGGTTTATTTTATTGAAGCAAAAAGAATGAATCTTCTACAAACGCAGACAAGGCCTTAAATAGTCATTGTCCCAATAACCCAATCCTACAATGCTTATTAAACTAAAACCGACAATGACTAGGAAAACCCAAACAAAACAAACAACGTAAACAATAAACAAGAAACATGTTTCCTTCTCCTCCACGTAAACCAGCTAGTTGGCGGTTGCTTTCCTCTTGGCTGCCAGCTCCCTCCCAACCTGAACAGCCTCCTCCATCCTGGCCGCTAGTTCCCCTGCATCAGTCTCCTCCACCTGTAAAGAACTCGACCGCGAGTTCATCTCAGGATAAAGCACAGTATCCTCATGAAACTCATAGATGTCGGCGACATTGAACGTGCTAGAGATATTCATAGTAGGCGGCAAATCAATGACGTAGGCATTGTCGTTAATCTTCTTGAGGACGGTAAAAGGACCATATTTGCGAGGTTGTAGCTTAGAGTACGAACCCACAGGAAACCTCTCTTTCCGTAGGAAAACCATTACCTTATCTCCCACGGCAAACACCTTGGCACGACGATGAGCATCAACGACAGCCTTGTTCTTTTCTCCGGTGGCCACTAGCTTGGCTTTAACGGCATCTTTCACAGCCATAACATCATGTGCCATATGTTCCGCTGCCGAACTCACGCCGGGAAGCTTGGGAAGTGCTACTAAGTCAACGACATGACGCGGTGGGGTAGTGTAGACAAGAGAGAATGGAGATTTACCTGTCGCCGAATGCACGACGCTATTGTATGCAAATTCGATTTGCGGTAAGGCCAAGTCCCACTGCTTGGGCTTGTCGCCACAAATACTTCGGATCATATTGCCCAGCGTTCGATTGGTCACCTCCGTTTGCCCATCCGTTTGCGGGTGAGCTGTAGAACTACGATTTAGCGTAGTGCCAAACATCCGCCATAGTGTGAGCCAAAAATGGCTGAGAAACTTAGTATCGCGGTCCGATGTAATAGATTTGGGAACCCCATGGAGACGAACAACTTCTTTGAAAAACAGCTTGGCGATGTTGGAGGCGTCGGCCGTCTTCTTACAAGCGATAAAGTGAGTCATTTTCGAAAACCGGTCGACAACGACAAAGACAGAATCAACGCCACGCTGGGTGCGAGGTAACCCTAGGACGAAGTCCATTGACAAGTCCAGCCAAATATCATCAGGAACTGGCAGGGGCAGATAAAGACCAGTATTTTGAGACTGACCCTTAGAGACTTGACATACATAACAACGCCGAACAATCGAGCCAACATCGCGACGGAGATGCGGCCAAAAAAATCGCTCCTCTAAGCTTGAAATGGTCTTGTCTCGACCCAAATGACCACCAAGCCCACCGCCATGCAAATCCCGGATGAGTTGCTCGCGTAACGATGAACTGGGAATGCATAACCGATTCCCTTTAAACAGAAACCCGTCACTAACATGGAAGTCATCTTGTGGATGCTGGTGAGAACACGTAAACCATATGTCATTGAATTCAGGATCAGAAGCATATAATTCTTTGAGAAATTCAAAACCTACGACTTCCTGTGCCAAAGTGACCAATAAAGAAGCTCGTCTACTCAATGCGTCCGCCACCTTATTTTGAACACCCGATCGATGTTGAATGATGAATGGGAACTTCTGTAGATAACTCACCCAGCGAGCATGCATTTTATTAATTATCTTCTGGCTATGGAGAAACTTCAGTGCAAGGTGATCGGTGAAGAGAATAAACTCGTGCTGGATCAGGTAAGGCTCCCATTGTCGCAGAGCTCGAAATACAGCATAAAATTCCTGATCATAGGTACTCCATTTCTGCCTAGCATCACTCAGTTTCTCGCTGAAGTAAGCAACGGGCCGCTTTTCCTGTGAGAGTACTGCCCCCACGCCGACGCCACTAGCATCACACTCGACCTGGAAAATTTTATCAAAATCCGGCAAGGCGAGGACTGGGGCGGTGCAAAGCTTCTCCTTGATCAACGCAAAGCTCCGCTCCTGTGCAGGACCCCAATGGAATTTTCCTTTCTTCAAACATTCCGTGATGGGAGCCGTGATAGTGCTGAAGTCTCGTACAAACCTTCGGTAGAAAGTGGCCAGCCCATGGAAACTCCGAACTTCCGAAACAGACGAGGGCGAAGGCCAATCTCGGATGGCGCTTACCTTTTCTTCGTCCACCTGGATCCCTTCTTCTCCAACAATAAAGCCCAAGAACAAAAGTTTGTTTGTGCAGAACGTACATTTCTTCAAATTAACATATAGCTCATTCTCTTGTAAAGCTTGGAGTACTTGTCGAACATGCTCCAAGTGGTCTTCCTTTGTTTTGCTGTAAATTAATATGTCATCAAAGTAAACAACGACAAAAGAACCGATGAAGGGGCGAAGAACCTGGTTCATCAGACGCATGAACGTGCTAGGGGCGTTGGACAACCCGAATGGCATGACGAGCCATTCGTAAAGACCGTCTTTGCTTTTGAATGCGGTCTTCCATTCATCGCCAGGCCGAATCCGAATCTGGTGGTAGCCACTTCGTAGGTCAATCTTTGTGAAGACTTTGGACCCGGATAACTCATCCAGCATGTCTTCCAGACGGGGAATGGGAAACCTGTACTTGATAGTGATCTTGTTGATGGCCCTGCTGTCGACGCACATGCGCCATTGGTTTCCTTTCTTGGGCACGAGCAACATAGGTACGGCACACGGACTCATACTTTCCCGAATGAATCCCTTCCGCAACAGGTCCTCAATTTGTTCCCGTAATATCTCATTCTCCTTGGGGCTCATACGGTAATGAGGAAGATTTGGTAGGCTGGACCCCGGGATTAAATCGATGTGATGTTGTATATCCCGCATAGGCGGCAAGAGATTGGGGAGCTCATCCGATATCAGTTTCTTAAAATCATTCAGAATGGTCTGTATCTCGTGAGGAATGGCGGTCTCAGACGGTGCAACACTGAGCAACCCCTTCACCACAATTGGATAAATCCATTCTGATTCTTTAAAAGCAGCGCATAGTTCCTGTTCATCCTCCGTCATCACAAGAAAACTTGACTTTGGCTTAACAAGCTGTTTGTGGAATCCTGACACAGGTGCCATAGCTATCTTGTGTGCTCCCCACGTGAACATCATCACATTATCTCGTCCCCTATATGTGATATCATTGTCGTATTGCCATGGCCTTCCCAAGAGGACGTGACAAACGTCCATATTGAGCACATCACACACAACTTCCTCCTTATAATATTTACCAATGGAGATAGGTACTCGACAGGTCCGCGTTACTTTAACCTGTGGACCCTTACTTACCCAGCCCAGAGCGTACGGGGACGGATGGGGCTCCGTTGGCAGCTCTAAATACGCCACCAGTTGTTGAGAAACCAAGTTTTCGGTACTCCCATTATCGACGATAAGATTGCACAATTTATTACTAATAGAACAACGAGTCCGGAAAAGGTTCTTACGTTGCCCCTCGTCTGTTGATGACAACAAGATTCGGCGTAGAACGATGTTCACTGTTTCCTGAGACTCCTCTTCAGCAAACTCCACCCCGGCGTACTCATCACGATCTTCTTCATTCTCGTTCTCCTTAATGCAAGCAGCCATCTCCTCTACCACAGCCGTCGTCCTGCGAGAGGGACAAACGTTCGATCTATGGCCTTGGCCACCACAACGGTAGCACTTATCTCCCCCAGGTTTTGCATATGGGTTCGTAGGTCTCGTGGCAGGGCCTTTGGTCGGGTTGGGATTCCCCGCTCTGGCAGTACCTGTTGGAGTTGGGTGTGCCTCCCTGGAACTCGAGCTTATCTCCTTGTCGGTGCTCACATCAGGGGTGTTTTGTGGGGGGAATTTGCGAAAGGGGGGGAAATTTCTAGGAGATTTTTCCATTAACTCCGCCTTCAGCGCAAGGGTAGAAGCCTCAGTCACCGTCCAGACTGTCTGCAGCCCAATTTTCTCCTGGATCGAT